CCCCCGACCCCCCTCCACCTTATCACCTGAATCTCCTCCTAGAGCACCATTGTGTTCTTTCTAGCCAAATCTCTCTCAGAGGCGCGTGGGGAGGGGCTCCTTATTTTCATCTAAAGTAACAGACAGAGAATCAGCACTTTGGAAACAGGGCTGAAACAGAGGGGATTATGGGTAATGCTGCAATGATTGTAATGGTTCCTTTAGATCTCGTGTCCTTCCTCCTGCCCGTTGAGTGGTGATGTAACTGCGCTATTTACCATCACAGGTAGGGTAATGTTAGGCCCTAGGACAAAAGGTGAAAATGTCTTCACCCTGTATTAACTATAGACCCTTTTTCAGGTTCTCTGACCACACACATGTTTAAAAAGTGAAAACTAAGATAAGAAAAGCTAGTACTTTAACTCAAAGCTTCTTCTTTTGTTGCATATAATGTACCTCTTTTAATCTGCTTCAGTGTGGGCTTGTTACGATACGATACGATAACACTTTAATGGTCAGATGAAGTCTGAAATGTAACTTGCATCAGCTCCATGTGTAACATCAACATAGACAAATATCAAGACATAATGTTGTACAGTAAGCTGTCTGATCTGCACCTGTGTAAATAATGCAGGCAGTGAAGAAAGGCAAAGCAGAAGCTGACGGTACGTCACAAAAATGTGTCAGAAAAGAAAGTGAAGACCTCATATCAAGAATGAAATAAAGGAAGGGAAAGAAAGAATCTGCGAGGTCATGGGAGTGCACACGGCGAAGGGGGAGATAAAAGGAGGCGAGGCGCTATGGGGACAGAGTGATAGAGAAAGAAAGAGGGACAAAGAGAAGGGGGAGAGAATGAAAAAGAGAGAGAGGGGAGAGAGAGCTGATGTGCCATTTCTAATCCCTCCTGTTCGTGGCTTTGTGCCGTGGCCCAGCAGGAAGTGGGAGCTGGGCAGACAACAATTAACAAAAGAGCTGTGAAGAATACAATTAGCCATCAATGGCTAACCACGGGCCTTTGTGCCTGTCGCTATGGAGACGGCACAACACCACTATACTGAGATTACAAAACCCTTTTCTACACTTCTCCTTTTTTTTTGTTCTCTCCATCTACCCTTTTTTTCTCTTTTACCCTTTTCCCTTTATTCCACTTTTCTTCCGCTTTCAAACTAATGTCCCTCATTTTCTATTCATCTCTTTTTATTCTCTCTCTGACACACACACACACACACACACACACACACACACACACACACACACACACACACACACACACACACACACACACACACACACACACACACTCACTATCTTCTGCTCAACTTCATAGAGACTGTCTTAATTAACACATAGATTGACATCAAAGGCTAATTTGATTGACAACAGGTAGACTACAATTAGGCATATCAGAGCGGCATGTTATAACACCTCGAACAGTGGGTCATTATAGATAACACATCGAACAATGGGTCAATATGGGGGTCACTATAGATAACACATCGAACAATGGGTCAATATGGGGGTCACTATAGATAACACATCGAACAATGGGTCAATATGGGGGTCACTATAGATAACACATCGAACAATGGGTCAATATGGGGGTCACTATAGATAACACATCGAACAATGGGTCAATATGGGGGTCACTATAGATAACACATCGAACAATGGGTCAATATGGGGGTCACTATAGATAACACATCGAACAATGGGTCAATATGGGGGTCATTATAGATAACACATCGAACAATGGGTCAATATGGGGGTCACTATAGATAACACCTCGAAACAGTGGGGTCATTATGGGGGTCATTAGCATACAAATGGGTCATTAGCATAAGTAGTTACAGTTTCAGGCACCTGTCAATTTATAAGTAGTAGCAGGTGTGACCTGTCACAGCTCCTGTCACTTTTTATGCACACTAAGATTCAAGATTCAAGATTCAGATTCAAGGCTTTTATTGTCATTCGCACACAGCTACAGTGTAGTTATGTCGTTCAAAATCTTAGGTCACAGGCTCCTCCAACAGTGCAACACAATAAAACAGATTTATTTTATGGGGTTTATCATAGTGACCGGAGAACTGTGCTCAACCTGGCTAACTTTGGTGAGTCTTAAAAGTTTGAAGTAAGGGAAAATGTGTAGTGAAAAACAACACCAACAGGGTGGCTACATACTAAACAAAGCTACTACTTGACTCACAATATTGATTTTAAATGATTTTATTGATTTAAAAAAGGTCATATTGCTTCCTCTTAAAGAGATAGTCCGTTCCAACTACAGCTCTATCTGCGGTCGACAACAACATAACTTGAAATGATGAAAGCAGTAATCAAGGTTTTCTGTAACGCAGTGGCGAACCGTGTCTATCACAACTGGACCTTCTGTAGACTCGAAAATGCGGGTGTTCTAGTCAGACGGACGTCACGGAGGCAGTCCCTTTGCGTTGGAATCTTTTCACAGAATTGTCGTCTTGAAAAGGGTAACAATAACATCTTCACCCTGTTGCCATGTCTACGAAAAAAAACAATAAAACTTCAAATGAATTGCTACGTAGCAGTAGGTAGGACCAGGGCCTTCTATCAAGGATATAGAATACCTTAGTTGAAATCAACGTAACACTGTAATATTACAGATCAATAAAACAGATACGATTCTCATGTATCTTTTTATTTACATTTCATTATATTTTATTTATATAATTAACTCGATTTTTTGTTTGTTTTATCTGAGTGTTCCAGGGTATTCTCTGAATACCTTGAAGGCCGACACGGTTCACCACTGCTGTAACGTGTGCACGTCACAGCAGTGGTGAACCGTCAGGGCCGACTGACACACTATGGGCTGTGTTTTCATTACAGCTCAAGTTGCATGCTGAGACTTTGGTTTCTGAAAGTGGCATTTTCATAAGCCGGGTTTATCATTCACTCCTGCCTGTTTGGTGTTTCGGCGATACAGTGAACGTTACTGTGCCGGTGTGGGGGCAGAGGAGTAGCTCGAGCGAAAATCAAGCTGGGAAGAGAAGTTTTCTTGTCAATTATTACCTGGATTTGCATTGCTCACACCAAGGAAGGACACAGGGTGCAAGGCACTGTCATGTTTCTATTGTGTTGTGTTGCTTTGCCGTTATTTATGCTTTTGGTATCTGCGTTGGCTAGTGGTTTAAATCTCTCAAGTTGAACACATTTCATGTGGAACTCCAATACACACATGGCTTTGGTGGGAATGATATCCAACACACAACTGTCTGTTTCCACATCAGAAAATATATCTTGTATGGCAGCAGTTCTTCTCCCCAAGCTAATTCAGGTGTATTAGGCATACTGCAAGTCAATACAACTCTTCTGCCATAAAATACACCTTTACAAATGGTGTAATGTTCAGTCTTTTAAGTGGCATCTGACAATTTTCAGAGATTTACAGTTTCAAGTATATGCTTTTTCATATTGAGGTCATATTTAAAGCTGTTGTTGTACAGGACCAGTGTTAGGAGGGTTA